TTAAGATCAGGAGCCATAATCGGGGACATTCCCCGATTATGGCTCCTGTTAAGATTTAATTCCAAACCATAGCAAAGTATACATTTTTAGAAAGTTCAAAGATCAAAAATTATGAAATTTTTTGGTACTTTAATTAGAACTGTTTTGTAACCTGACACTGGCTCATTAAATCTGCCACCTGCAGGAGAATAATAGGGCTTACTTGAGAAACTGATCAAAATGAATACTTTTTTACATTTTTTAAAAGAACACAAATAGCTTACTGTTTTAAACATAGAGGTTTTGGAAAAGTTAAAAACACATGAAATGGTGACCAGTCAAATCTGATACAGAAAATTCAGCATACATTTCAATGCATAACTTCGACCAAATGCACTGGATGGAAACGTTCTATGCTTGAAACTCAAAACTTACATAGAACAACAAATCCTGAAAATTTCAGCTCAATTGGACAGATCCTTCTCAAAATATCTTTACTCAAAGGCAAAAAAATTACTTTTTTTTTTTGGAAAACGAGCTTTGAACTTACAGTAACAGAAATGTTCCTCATAATAAAACTCTAATACCTTAAGATTCAAATTCCGGTAAAAACGAAAATTCGATCTTTTACAGAATTTTTGGGTGTGCCCCCGCCTTAAGTCTTCCCCTTTTGCTTTGTATCCTTCATCGTACGCTAAAAATTAAAGAGTCGACTGCTCGTAATCTGAGAGGGATATTAATTGCTTCAGTCACGTCGTAAGTTAAAAATAATTTTTAGCCTCTTCCAGGCGTTCAGTTAGTTGGGGCGAATGGCGAAATACAGTTTTAATTTAAACGCAAAATCGTATCAAAATACGATTTGTAAATAGCCAGGGATGTTGAATCTTCATGTTTTGAAAAAATGGGTTTTGGAGAAAAGTTTATATCTGGTGATATAAGACTCCCTTAAGCAATGCTTTATTTTGTTTTTCAAAATCGAAGAATATAATACAAAGAGCGGTGATAAACATTCTATTCCAATAAAAACCTTATTTTAATACAGAGCTTGACGTTTCGTATGCTAGTCAACCATACATTTTAAAAAGTGACCAATACAAATTATACCGTAAACGTCTGGAACATAGACTGAGAAAAATGATCTGCAGCAATACGTTAGCCTGTTTAGACATCACGAGGAGAAACAGCTAATAAAGCAACACGTAGAACTTCTCACTACTGACGTTGACATTTAGTGAAGGCTTTTGCTCTTGGTTCTGCAATGTAAGCCTAAGAACAAGATAACATCGAAGAAAGTTAGGAAAAGTTCCTTTCCGCTCTTTCTCTTCCCCCACCACCCCCTCCCCCACCCGAAGGGCTTGCTCGCAGGCTATTTTGGGAAAATCATAACCGTGAACACATTGAAAGATTGCCGAGAAACTGCGGGACATAAACTTCAGTTAAAGGAGCTCCGTCGCGACCCGCGCATGTACAAGATTTGGCTCCGTTCCTATTGAGATCCAAATGTATCTGCCATCTTGAATTTTTTCAGGGTTGTGAAATTTGTGCGAATTTCGCCCTTCTTGATTAAAATTATGACGTCTTTTTGTCGCGTGTGTGGATTTAAACGTGATGACGTCACCGTCATGAAATTCATGGGTACAACACAAGGCATGCCGCAAAAGGGAATTATCTTCGGAAAGAAGTTAAGTCGGAAATTTTCAAACGCTCTTTTTCGAGAACTGGAGCGATATTATGGAATCAAATTTCTCCAGACTGGAGAGATTTATCTAAACCAATCTTTAAGAAAAAAATTCGTAGATTTTTATTTGAGACTCTTTCAGATAGGGATGACTATGTTGAAGTCGACACCCTGACTCAAGTTCTTAAATTTAGTTCCTGCTTAATTTTAACCCATAGTTTAGTTTATCTCTAGTAAATCATAGCTCCTAATGTCAATCAAACTATGTAAATGTACTTGTATTAAACTTTTTTGTAAATCCTTCTATAAGTAGTTGCATAACAATCTTATTGATGTATTAATGGTCTAATATAAATATAGATGTGGCCCGCTTAGATTAGCCCAGGCTACCTGCGGGTTCGCGCTGTTGCTATTGTCAAGCTTTTTTAACTTTATGTGTATATATTTCTGTAAAAT